TAGTTTAGAAACCAAATCAAGGGTCCATATAATAGTTGAGGGACCAAATTAGGGTTTAACCTTTCAATAAACAAAGAATTTAGAGATAATTTATATATTTATTTATATTATCCCTAAAAAATAGATAAAGATAAAAAGAGAACTTTGTTAATAAAGTTAAGGGATAAGAAAATAGTTAAGATAGAAAAAAATATTTTTACCTTAAAAAATAGATTAAACTCCCATTTTGGTCTCTCAACTATTGTACGGACCGCCAATTTAGTCTTTGAATTAAAAAAATCCCCGATTTGGTCCACACTGTTTATCGTTTTGGCCCTAACTTGATTCTTCCGTTAAATTTTCCGCTATATGTCTGGTTACTTGATGGAAAAAGATGACATATAAAAATATTTTGACACATAGGACTGACAGTATGACAAATAAGCTTTGACATGTAATTTCCAGCTAAAAATTAAAATATTTCAAACTAATTATAAAATTACAATTACTTTTTTACTCTTTTCTTCAACCACACATCAATTTCTTTCATTTCTCCTTTCGTTCCCCCTTCCTTTTCATCTCCAACCTCTTTGGTTGTTCATCTTCTTCCCCCAGCAAGTTTCATTCTTTCTCCCTTCCCTAACACCAAATCTAGGTTCGATTAAACCCAGCGGTTGTTCATCTTCTTCCCCCAATAGGTTTCATTTTCTCTCCTCCTTCCCCGACACCAGATCTGGGTTCTCTTTCCTCTTCCTTTCCTTTGCCTTCTGTAAACCCTTCTCCAAGGCGGAGTAAGGAAGTAGAGCCAAGAACTTCGAACCTAGTACTCATTGGGTTTGGGTTCCTTCAAACCCAGTAGCTATTGGGTTCCTTCGAACCAAGCAGCTATTGGGTTCCTTCAAACCCAGTAGCTTTTCTCCTTTTTTCCTCTTAGATTTGAAATCTTGAAATGTACTTTGTTTCCTAGATCTTGTTTGGTGAGAGAGAAAACATGATGGTTGATAAAGAAGATCTAGGTTTGAGTCTTAGCTTGAGTTTTTCTTAGATTCACCATATTCTAGCGAATTAGGGTATATTTTGAGATTTGATTTGAGGTGGTCCTAGATCTGTTAGGTGCGCAACCAATGGGCAATGAACAACCTTATCTGGAAGAGAAAGAGGTGAAGAAGGTGAATTGATTTGGTGAGGAAAATCAAAGGTGGTTTCAGGTGTTAGGGTTTACAGTAGCAAAAAGGCAAGGAAGAGGAAAAGGAAGAAGAAAGGGAAAAAAAGGAAAAACAAAGGAAGAAAAGGAAAATTTTTAAGGTTTTTTCTTGCCATTTCATTATTTTTGCCATGCTGTACATCTTATGTGTTAAAATATTTTTACATGTAATCTATCTCATGTCAAATAACAGAACATGTAGGCCGATTTTTAATGGGAGGACCAAATTAGGGATTTTTTGAGTTGAGGGACTAAATCAGGGGTCCGTACAATAGTTGAAAGACCAAAATGAGGGTTCAACCTAAAAAATAATAATTAATTAAAGACAAATTTTAATTAAAAAACTATAGTTATTTTTCAAATAAGTATCGCAAGACATAAGATTGAAAGTTTATAAAAATGATATACTCCCTCCATTTCATTGTAGTTGTAAATTTTTTTTCTTATCACACTT